TTGTTGCTTACATATGTATCCCTGGGGTGGTGAAATCTTCTAAATGCCCAAATCTTTGGCTCACATGTTCATATAAAGGGCTAGACTGTGTACCTGTGTGCCTATGTCATTCAGCACTTTGGCGACTGGAGGTGACAGTTCTCCTTCCAATGATAAAGCAACAAGAAAAAGAAAACATGTCTCTAGTTCTTGTAAGTGATATGCAGATTATCATGCACTTCACTGTATTGTAGACTGCCATGTCATAGTTTAAGTACTGAAAACCTGGTGCACAAGTCAGTGTAATTTGATCTAACTGAACTGGAATTACCCACAATGTATGCTAAAGTGACAACCCCTAGTCTATTTGAAGCTTTGAAATCACTTTCATCACACATCACTGGAAATCTCTCGGAAGGACAAACATAGTAAACAGAGAGATTTTCTAGCCTGCCTCAACAGAAAGGAAAAAATATGTATTTTCTGTCTTTATACGCTGAGCTGTTTGAGCAATGAAAGGAGTGTGCATTGTCTGTTAAGCCATTATCTATAGAATGCAGGCTTCACAGAGATGTTGGTTGCTAACAGGGTTATATTCAGCTCCTTGACAGAGCTCTTATGCAGACCTGCAGCAAGGTTTCACATAGACGGAGGGAAAACAGAGGCTGGTGGGGAATTCTGGGGCTAGGCTGCTCTTAAGAAAACAGTTCACAGTTATTTCACTAGGCCCAAAGGCAACACAGCATGAGACAAATTAAAATTCCACGACAGGAAACCAAAAGGAATTGAAAGTTCGAAGCATGGTCACAGGAACAAGGGAGCACAGCAAGTCTGGGAGCCTTATACTTCATCAGACCATTGTTTCCTCTAGCTCAGTATAGCCTAGATTCTTCACTAACTGGCAGTGGTTCTCCAGGATTCCAGGTTAAGTATAATTGTTTAATTTACACTGAAATGGAGACTGCCTATGTGCATTGCTGAAAGGGTTTAACTGGAAGATTCCATTGAAGATAAAGAAAAGCAAGAAGAGCTCTCTGAGCTCTTTGATGGGTTGATAATTAACTGTTGTTCTCTGGTAGCTCTGACAAGGTGTTTCACTTTAGATCACATGGGAGGCTACTGAATTGCAAATTCGCCATCTTGGAAGGGTGATAATGGAGCTCACTCCAGGAGCACACAGCCTCAGACTGGAATGGAGGCTGGAATGGGGGGAGGGGAGAGAGTTTTGATCTCAATCCTGTTTAAAATTATTTCTAAGATGATGCTGAGCCCATGCTTGGATAAGCATATGTTGTATGGAATTATTTGGATGTGGGTCTCAGCAATCTTTCATTCCAATCTTTCATTATGCATCCAGTTGCTTCAAGCTGCACAATACAGTGGTACCTCGGGTTACTAACTTAATTCATTCCGGAGGTCCATTCTTAACCCAAAACCGTTCTTAATCTGAGGAGCGCTTTCGCTAATGGGGCCTCCCGCTGCCGCCAAGAGATTTCCGTTCTCATCCTGGGGCAAAGTTCTCAACCCGAGGTACTACTTCCAGGTTAGCGGAGTTTGTAACCCGAAGTGTTTGTAGCCCGAAGCGTTTGTAACCTGAGTTACCACTGTATTAATATCTGCAATATCCAGGAAGAGGTCTCTCCTAGTCCCACATGGAGATACCAGGGATTGAATCCGGGACCTTTTACATGCTACATCTCTACCAGAAAGGGTGGACAGAAGGGCAGAACAACAATGTAATTATCTGGCTATGAAAGAATGAGTATCTAGACTACTCTGAGCTTGTTTCCACAATCACCCATAATGAAATAACAAGAACACTTTAATCTTGCAGGTATATTCAAGGGGAAATCCAAGCTGAGTCAACAGCTCCTGAGTCTTTCCTTGCATATGGGGGCTTTTTTGAAAGGGATCCCAAAGCGTTGTAGCTATCAGTGAGCAGCAATTTTTTAAAGTTTATGAGCTAGTATTGCACAGAACCTGGAGTATTAAAGTCTAAAAGCCAGGCCAGATTGCAACAGCGTAAAGAAGAATAAGGTCAGGACCAACGCATATATAATGCAGATTCTGCCACCACAACCACCAGGGTTATAGCCTGAAACTACAGTCAATTGCATACCCTTGTGGGGGCTTAGTGATACTGAACTTCATGCCTCTGAAACAGAAAAGGGAATGGGAACAAGAAAAGAAAAAAAAGGCAGTAGAATTTTCTTTTGACACCAGCTTTCAAATCCTCTAATCCGGCCCTAACCATTCCATATGTAAATCGCAGATTCTTCCCTGTCAGTTTAAATCATGTTGAAAACATTTGTGTGGGTGGGTGGTTGCAAATGTCAAATAAGTATGCCTTCCCCCATCTGTTTGCACAAGCACATTCCATGATCTGAATCACTTGAACAGCAGATAATTTATGAAAGACAATTTGTAAATAAAAATAGCTTTATTGTTGCAGATTTCCAGCAATTTCTCCCTATGCAAATATTTATATCTAGGATATGATTTAAATCCCCTCAAGAGGATGGATGATCAGAACCAGAGAAAAATGCTATAGGCAAAGGAAGAGTTATCAGAATATGGAGAATTCAGCATTTAGCAGAAGGCTAACGCAGTGCCTCTATTCATCTAGGCTGTGCTTCACGCTGTCTGGTGACATGCATTATTTATTTCCCCCAATTGCAGCAATATAATGTTTTTATGGCATGTTATAGTTCAGAACCTGTATACTATTCTCCCCATTGCAAAAAATAATTGCAACTCAAGGTGTTATTTCTTCTAACACAGGCACACTGCTTTCTATGGGAGTTAATACATGTCAGTTTTATATTGTTCTTCTTTCCTTGTTGCTTGAAATGTATCAGGTAGACATCCCCCTGAGTGCCAAAGGAAGGTAAACCATGGCTCACCTCCAGTTAATCACATTCTTGGGCATTAAAGCAAAACAAACAAACAAACAAACAAAACTTTAAACTCTTTTATGCCAGGTCTACTGCAGAACACAGTAGAAAAGACAGCACATTTTGCTGTCAATTTATCAGTCAACAATATTTCAAATCATTTTTCAGGCTGCCCTGAATGCATCTTCATACCTTGAAAGATAGATTGAGAAACTGATTTCTGAAATGTCATTTTATCTCCTTTAAAACTACCAGCAGGGGCAACTCAGGCAGCAGATTATAACCACTAAAAGGCAGCAACTCTTTCATTGTTTGGTTTATTATTTTACCACTTAATGATATTTTAGTCACAGGAAATTAAATGTCTTTGTCCATCTCTAGGTCTTTGTTGCATCTCTTTATCAGGAGGCAAATTCTATACCACTGAATTAAAGATATTGAAACCAACCCAACTACAGCAAAAGTTAAAAGTCAAAATTTAGTGAATTTTCCAAATTTACAGAGCAAACTGCAAGCACTATTTGCTTGTCAAGCTTCAATTCAAAATTTGAATGAATTAAACTTCTTAGCACATCTTGGTTGTTGTTGTTTATTTCACAAGCTTCAAATCCAAATGCTTTCTGATTATTTACTCTCTGTACCACTCTTCATACAAATATATATATCAAAGAAAACATAAAATGAAAATATGGAGTTAACAAATGTAATTAACCCCCTGTCCCAATATACTCAACAGTGCAACATTAGTAGAAACAAATCACCCTACCATATCACAGAATAATAGAATTGTATAGCTGGAAGAGACCCTGTGGGTCATCTACTCCAACCTCCTGCAATGCAGGAATCTCAACTAAAGCATCCAAAACAGATGGCCATCCAAGCTCAGCTTGAAAGCCTACAAGAAAGGAGAGTCCACCACCCTCAAATGGAGTCCATTACACTGTCAAGCACCTCTTAACATCAGAAAGTTCTTCCTGGTGTTTAGTTGGAATCTCCTTTCTTGTAACTTGAAGCCATTGGTTTAGGGACCAGCCTCCAAACAATAAGACTGCAGAAAATCAACCAATGACATGGCCAAGGACCTCTTGGAGACCCAAAGACCAGGAAAGGCAAATTTTAGCTATCAAATACAAATTACTATTTAATGTAATCTGTCAAGTGTCATTAGATACTAGATATAATTGCAAGCTATCTATGAAATGCTATAAGATGAAACAGGCCATCACATATCAAATATCTGCTGATGTTCCTATGCAATGTGCAGCAGCAAGATAATATTGGGAGTGTTTTAGGACAGACTTGCTACTGGGGGGGGGGGAGGGGGAGACGGGACAGAATGAGAGTTCTGTTCACAGAAGGTATCTTTCCTTGACCAGAAGAAATCTTTCCACGAACACCAGATTATTCTCTCACAGGGGAAAAACACTGGATATCCAAGCAACTGTCAAATCGCAACAGGCCATTGGAAGGCTTTGTGTGAACTGACCAGGCACAGCAGAGCAAGTCTCAGGAATCTTTAAGGCATGTAAAAGTTCTTTGACAGGCATGTATCCTTGTAATATATACCACTGAATATAGCTTTCAGTTAACACTAGTGACAGTTGACATTGCATGTCAACTGTTATATACTACCAGATGTCTCTGGCAGTATATCAAACTTTATACAACGAGAACCAAACCATAGCTCTTCTTCAAAACTTGCACTTATTCAAATTTTGTAATGCAGTTCTCCAACCAATGTTTACAAAAATGCATACATTGGGGAAACATGTGCATAAAAATGAATATATTAGTAGGGTGAAATACAAAAGTGAATAAAATTAGGAGAAATTGCTTGCAAAAAATGTGTGCATTACTCTAAACTGCATACCATATGTGCTGCTTAGGAGAAATATTTCATGAAGATTTTTTAATTTTATTTTTTTTTTGCAGAAATGTGGAGTACTAAATTGAAACTGGAAAAAAAGAGAATCCAAGCAAACAAAAATTTTCAGAACCTTCCATTCCTAGTATTGACTTGAAATTTCTTTTACATTATAATTTTGGTGCTCAAAAGAATGAGCGGCACAGAATCGCTGACTAGAGCCTGACCCTGCTTCTGTATTCACACAGAGATGGTTTCCCTACCTGCTGCCCTCATGTCATTACGGCATGCCTAAACTGGCATATGGCGTGGGAGCTGACTTTATAGCTGACTTTCCTCCTCGACAGCTACCTCCTGGCTCTTCTCTTCAAATCTGGTCATCTGATCATCCCTCTGCCCTGTGTGAATGTACCAAACCATATGGCCCATAATTAACAATTCAAATCTATAGCTGCTCCATTAAAATAAAGAACTGAACTTTTCTTCAAACTTTTCAGTTGAGGCAAAAATCTTCACTTTGAAAGGTTTCATAACTACAAAGTGTATCCTACATACAATGTAAATTTAGTTCCTCCTTAATACAGCCAAATTACTTAGATTACCAAGAGGCAATAAGCCCAACTGCACAGTTACAATGACAACTTGGCCATCTGAGACAGAAAAGGAAATACAAACTTAAGAAGCTTAATGTAGGCACTTTCATTTTCATTTTCATTTTTAAAAAAGAAGTTTAAATGAAAAGCTCAAACTTCATATATTTATCTGGGGAACCAATACTTTACCTCCTCATTTGTATTATAGATGTGAAACAGTAATATTAAACTTAGAAAGATACTACGTGTAGTGGAACAGTGTTAAGGTTTTAGATAATATCGCTTTGTAGTACAACAAACTCTGCATTTCAAAGCAGAGTCTTGGTCTGCCACTGGCAAAACAGTGATCAAACACATCCCAGTTTTGATCTATGTTAGTTGTACAGGATTACATTTTTGGACATAGTATACACTATAGGAAATCTGTGAAAGAAGCTTTGGGAGTAGCAGGTTGACTGTTTCCTACTTTGTATTTTAGCTTGTTACACTGTCCCAAAGACCCAAGTGTGTATCCTTTAAAGTTTATAGATTAATGATATTGAAACTTCCCCTCCCTTTCCTCTAATGTGTGCACACCTATCTAATTATTTTGCAATGGTTGGGCATGACCCAGCCAAAGTAAATGATGCTCTGGGCCCCATTTATTTTAATGGAGGAATTAGGCACCTGTTTAATGTTCTCCTATTAAAATCAAGGGTACCTCTGCTAAAGCATATTTTTAATGTTGTTAATCTAAAGGGGAAACAGTGGTACAATGTGTCCCAATTACTGTAAGGTTAAGAGTAATCTCACTTCATTTTTTATTTTTTATTTGTCAATTGCCCTTCATCAAGAGATTTCAGGACACTGTAGAAAAGTGCAAAACGAATTTGCACACTACTTACAGTTTAAAACCAGTATACAAACCAGTAAATAATCCTAATCCTAATAAAATATAAATAGACAAAAAAAAATTAAAACCTGAATGACTACAATCAGGGCTGGCTCTAATGTTAGACAGAGTGAGGCAGATGCCTCAGGCAACAGATACAGGGACTTGGGTCCCAGACATTTATGGCTCTGGGGATGCAAATCTTTCTGTATGGTGATTTTGTAAATTAATAGTTTAGAAGAAGAAGAGGATGGAATTCAGTGGGGAGTAATCGGTTTAGGAGATTACTAGTTGTAATCACATTCATCTCATATTTCATGTTATTGTACATTTTGTAAAGAAATTGTCCAACTGGAAATGGTGTGTTTGTTTTCACCATTTCTCAGATAAACACTCTGTTTATTGCTAACCCTGGGTAATTGCCAGTGATACCCATGCTTAAAGAGTCTGAAGACCTACTCCGTCCCTCCGCCTACACAGTGTGGTTAGCACAGCAAGCCTGTGACAAACCCTTTTACAAAGTCAGTTTTATGTTTAACTTCCACATCAACCGAAATGACAGTGCACAAATTTCACCCTGTTTTAAAGGCATCATTATGTGCACATGTTTGTCAAAAGCAAAAGGGGAAGAAAACACAGCCTCGGAGCTTGGAAGCATGTGAAATTACTGTTTTGAGCGATACACTGAAACCCAACTTCATTAAACACTGACTGCTGCTGTGACTACTGGGGAGTGAGACTTGAATGGATTCATAATAAAAGCAATTTTATGTGGATGTGAAGAAAACTGGGAATTATTAAGTGAACAGTAATGAACACCTTGCCATCGGAAGATGGATGATAAGAAACTGTAGTCAATACCCCATTAGCAAGTCCATTATAACCTTGGAATAGAAACATACTTTATTGCAGAAGGCTAACACAATTGTAAGTGAACTTTAACAGCTGAATAAATGTGTGTGGTAATGTATGGTTACAGGAGTTAAATGAGCCTCACTCTTATTCCTGCTGCAAACAAAAAAAATAAATAGTTAAGTCATTATCGGGCACATTATCAAACCCTTCATTACTGCAACTTGTACAGTTGTAGTTAATGTCAAGTTGGCGCTTCCATTACAAATTCCCGTTTTTAAGTTGCTCAGTAGAAATTCTGCATTCTGCAATTCATCTCTAGAACATGGTTAAAAATGATTTCCAGTAATTAATTTTTTCCCCCAGGAAAATGTCATAGTAAATTGAGAATAGCAACTACTGGGTCACACATAGCTGCTGGACCTTAATTGACTCAATAGGAACATAAGAATTGCCTATGCTGGATCAGACAAAGGCTGCAATCCTATACACATTTACCTAGGAGTAAGCCCCACCGAACATAGCAGGGCTTGTTTCTGAGTAAGCATGCGAAATTTTCCACTGTAAGATGTGATCTAGTTCATCAGCTTTCTTCCATCATCACTGGCCAACCACATGGCACTTAGGAAGCTCATAAACAAAGCAAAACAGAGATTGACATCTCTTGCTACTTTCCCCCAAACTTGAATAATCAGAGGGATAATGTTTCTCAATTTAGAGGTCACAAGCTGTCGCTTGATATGACTCTGTGTTATGAATTTCTCTAACCTTTTAAAAGCCACAGGAGCTAAAGGCTATTACCACCTCTTGTGGTTATTAATTCCAAATGTTATGTTACATGATAGCACTTTATTCTGTGAGTCATGAACTTGCTACTAACTAATGTCATTAACTATAGTGTTACAGGCTAGAAGCATTTCTCTTTATTTCATCATTCCACAGCCACTAGCCATCCTATTGGCTATAGCATTTCATTTATTCATTCATTTCATAAAATTTATATACCACTTGATTGTGGAAAAAAGGCTCAAAGTGGTTTACAAAAAAGATAAAACAAGAAAGGTATCACTAAAAAATTACAACCATAATTTAAAACATACTGAAAGTTAAAACCACAATAAGGTAAAGGTAAAGGTACCCCTGCCCGTACAGGCCAGTCTTGACAGACTCTAGGGTTGTGCGCCCATCTCACTCAAGAGGCCGGGGGCCAGCGCTGTCCGAAGACATTTCCGGGTCACGTGGCCAGCGTGACAAGCTGCATCTGGCGAGCCAGCGCAGCACACGGAACGCCGTTTACCTTCCCGCTGGTAAGCGGTCCCTATTTATCTACTTGCACCCAGGGGTGCTTTCGAACTGCTAGGTTGGCAGGCACTGGGACCGAGCGACGGGCGCGCACCCCGCCGCAGGGATTCGAACCGCCAACCTTTCGATCGGCAAGTCCTAGACGCTGAGGCTTTAACCCACAGCGCCACCTGCGTCCCAAAAACCACAATAGAACAGACTAAAAGAAATTAAAACTCATGCATACTTTCTAAACATCTGGGTAGGCCTGTCTAAATAAGAATGTCTTCAGCCGCTTCTGATAATAAAAGTGTGCTCACAAGACATCTGATCTACACTTCTTTTTGTGCTGAGTTTCTAGGCACAGGTCTATGATTTCCAGGTTCATGTCTGACCATTTTTTCCCCTTCTGTCACTTTCTCTAGATAAACCCACATTTTCTCACTTAATCAGAGCAAATGGCAATCGGGTTTTCTGTCTTCCAACAATTTGCGACCACTCGACCCTGCTGCATCTACTGCCAGAGCTGGTAGCTTAGAATGTCCAGCCCTGGATAATATTTAAAGTCTAACTTTAAAGGACTTTTGCACTGGAATGGACTTTTGATCACTGTCACGAAACAGCTATAGTCTACTTTTAATTTAACATTCAGTGTGTACACAACACGCATACACACACATACATATTTGAAAAAATCAGAACTGGCTTTTCAGGGAAGAAAGGAAAGTACTAAATGCAGGGATGAAAGGGAAGAGATATTTGAAACGTTTTGAAAAATAAATCTGTGCTCTGCCCCTTTTGTTCCTTTTAAGTGTTGTTAGCCATCCTAAGTGATAGGATTGCTGCTGGTTAATATATCAACCATCTGAAAATAAAATAAAGAATATTGAAAAGAAAATCTGTTAATTATGTTATTTGACTGAATACAGAATTGAGATAAAATAATACTTACAAGCTGTATAACTGATGTATTGTGGGGGTGGATTTAGGGCTGGGAGAGTGGTGCAAACACACTGGGCACTGAGCCAAGGTGCTGGGCTTTCAAAAGGAGGCATGAGGCTCTCCTGTCTTCTTCCCTAGCATTTTTCTTACCCGCCTTTGAGAAGGCAGTGCCTCCTTGCTAAAGTCAGTGCCTTGGTTGCAGCACAAGAGCTGGGAGGTGGTGGAATTTTGGTCTTGCACAGGGTGCTATTAGTACCCAAGTCCACCACTATGGTCCCTGCACAGTCAAAGTCACCGCACAGGGGCAAGTTAAAATGAGCAGAATAGGCTTCCTTCTTAATTTGTTCCATTGTCATTTTTCCCCCCAGAAGAAGCAAGTAATGGCAATTTGCCAGGCATCTGCTTGGCAGCAGCATTCCCACAGCATGCCAAGGCCATGGAAGTCAGCCCTGTACACACTATGCCCTGAGAAGAACAGTGCCTGCCTGACAGCATCAACAATTCACCCACAGCAAAGGGAAGAACTGGCAAGGTAAGAGCTCATTCTGTTGCCTGCGCAACGTGGGTGCTTCTTCCATTCTGAGGAGCTCGGGTGTCTCGCAAAATAAGGGAGAGGGGTGGGGTGGCTGTCAGTCCTCCAGCCAACTGTTTCAGAGCCCAGAAGGTGGAGGACATAGAGAATTCCTTTCTCGAAAGCCCAGAAAGGCAAGGCTGGACACAGAGCAGAGAGAAGAAAGAAGACTGCCCTCTGCATCCGACCCCCAGCTGACAATACAATTTTTAGTATCCTGCTATGCTGTCACCTTGCCAACTAAGGTCCGTATAGTTAAAGCCATGGTTTTCCCAGTAGTGATGTATG